ACAGGATTGCCTAAAGTCGAGTACATTAGACACTAAATGCTTCAGTGGCCACTAGTGGCCAGGTAAGGTTATTAATTAAATTCACATTACTAATTGACAAGTTATAGTATATAAGCTGGACGCGGTGCAGATGTAGACATTGTGTGAACAGCTCCGATACAATACCAACACCAACAATGAAATCCATGGTAAGTTCTTTTTGTCATCATATCAGCTACAAAGGCATCCACTGCTAAACATAAGTCTCTTCCTATGACTTCAAACTCAACCACCTTTATCATGATAACAAACAAGCAGCAAGTAGTAACTGGATGCAAGTCGTGGACTATCTAAATCCCTTCACAGCCAAAACTTACCCTGATTGATTACTCTACATTGTTGATTTTAAAGACTACTGTCTAATTCCGTATTGTTTCTTCCAACAGATCATTTTCGCAGTTCTGGCCTTCCTGGCGGTCGCCAGCGCCAAGCCTTTCCTCGGTGACTTAGGAGCTGGTCTTGGGGAAGTAGGAGCTGGTCTTGGAGCTGGCCTTGGCAACATCGGGGCTGGACTTGGGGCCGGACTTGAAGGTACACACCAACATTTTATTTGGTGCCAATAATATACCACTAATTAGAGCTGTGTAGACCTTTCGTTGTCAGTCTCCCGGGGGTGTCGTCTGTTCAATGAAATACTTATGATAATATTATTTCCAAAACCATATATTTAATATTATGTTCTATTCCAGGTATCGGAGCTGGTCTTGGCCTCGGTGGGCATGGTGGCGGTATCGGAGGGCAGGGTGGTATTGCCGGCCTGGGCGGTCGTGGTGGCAGATATTAGACCTACTTAAAATACCTCATCAAGAAGTAACGGAAACAACATCTTGTTTGTAAGACAAATAAATGATTTGACTTGACTACTTCAATATTATTTTTTATTGTACCGAATATCCCTGCAACGTATTTAACTCGTCGAGTACCGGTTTTGTAGACACAATTATAGAACAATAGGTTGCGGTCACCGGTGACCGCTTGGTGTTTGACAGTTTAACTGATTTGTAATGTATCAGAAAATGGAAGGCTCTCATATTTGCTTTCTTAGAGATATTTTTGAGATCAATAGGACTCCTCGAAAATGATGGCGAATCAGTCGAGGGGTAGCCAAATTGTAAGCGGTTCAAACTTATTGTAACTTGTAAATTATTGTATTTTTTTTTTGTTTTGTTTTTTTTTTATTGTACACTTAACTACCCCTTATCTGGTTTCTTACAAATATTTCCATCCAAAGGTTGTCTGGAATAAATCACCATTGCGTGATAAGACCGCCCATTGTACACATATTTACATGAATTGTTTATTTTAAACTGTCAAATACCGCGAGGACACCGGTGACCGCAACCTATTGTTCTTTAATTGTGTCTATAATGACGGTACTCAACGAGTTAAGCTACTTAAATGTGTACAATAAAGCATACATAAATAAATATAAATAAATAAATTGTACTTAGTACAGCGGTAGTCCATAGATATCCGGAAACATGACAAAATATATAAATAAAAACCGTAATTTTCCGGAAATAATCAAAAAGATAAAAACGGCAGACCTTTTTATTTTATTTTGGTATAAGCCGGTAAACGAGCAGTCGGTCACTAGAGGAGTTACAAGTGCAGTGCACGCATTTTAAAGCTTAAGGATTCGAGGACTTTTTTTAAGACCAGCTCGCCACAACCGCACGCCCGTAACCGCTGCAACTTCTATAAGCCAGGATCTACAGTAGAAACAACCATGAAAACACCGGAACACTGAAGTCCGGCGCGTCTCAGGGACATGAATCTTGGTTCCCGCAACAAAGTGTGTCAGAAGACATTGTAAAAGGAGAAGAATAAAAAAGACCGCCTTGTTGACCGCGTGGTCGCAAGTGCGACTGCCGGGCAAGGGGTCTCGGGTTCGATACCCGGGTAGGACAACGTATTACAGCGCTTAAAAAAATTTTTCAGTGGTAACACAGAGTCTGGAATTGTGCCCAGTATATGGCAATAGGCTCACCCCCTATTACATGGGGCTCATAACATAAAATAGTGAAAAGTGAATGTTACATTGTACAGTGGCATGCTGTAATGTGCACCTCTGCATACCCCTTCGGGGATTAAAGGCGTGTGAAATAAAAAAAAATGTGAATACATTCTACACCACTTTAAAATTAAATGCATCTTTTCGCTGCAGTGTCGCTATCTCTATTTTGCTTCTGGCACTATTTCCACTCTCTTCTACGGCCGTAATGCAAATAAAAATAAACATAATTTTAACGCCATCTGCCGGGTGCACATCAATATTACGTCAAAAATTAATTCAATAGGAAGGTAGTACACGTTCACAAAACGAAACCAGATTTTTTTAAATCTAAAATCTTTTTAGGATCTTTTATCAGAGATATTTCAGTGCCATCGTACCCTTTACATTATTTTACGTACTTTACATTATTTGACTATTACATTTTCTTTAAGTACTCTAGAAAATCACTTGATTAATTGTTATTCGTGGAGGACTAAAATCAAATACTTCGCACAACTTTTTCATAATCGCTGAAGATGGTACAAATTAGTGTTGTAATGACGTTTGTCTAATGGTACACACAACATAATGAACCTGTCCTATTTGCCATCAAATCAATTATTGTCTTATTAAAACAGGATTGCCTAAAGTCGAGTACATTAGGCACCAAATGCTTCATTGCTCAGGTAAGATTGTTAATTAAATTAGTAAGTAATTTATAAGTTGCACTATAGAGGTATAAGCTGGACGCGGTGCAGCTGTAGACATTGTGTAAACAGCTCTGATACAATACCAACAATGAAATCCATGACAAGTTCGTTTATCATCATCATCATGATATTACATGTCAAAAGACACCCATTGCTGAACATAAGCCTCTCCCAATGATTTGAAAATCAATCAGTTTTATTCAAAGAATCTCAGTAGTAAGCACGGAGTCCGGAATTGTGCCCGGTATATGGCAATAGGTTCACCTCTTATTACAAGAGACTCATGACATAAATAGTGAAAAGTGGGTGTTACATTGTACAGTGGCATTAAGTGCTGTAATGTGCACTTATGCCTACCCCTTTGGGGATAAAAAGGCGTGATGTTAATTATGTTATGTCTTATTCTGTATTGTATCCTTCAGCAGATCATTTTCGCAGTTTCCGGCCTTCCTGGCGGTCGCCAGCGCCAAGCCTTTCCTCGGTGACTAAGGAGCTAGTCTTGGTGAATTAGCAGCTGGCCTTGGCAAAGTCGGGACCGGACTAGGGACTTGGGGACTTGAAGGTACAAATAAACATTTGATTTTTTCCATTAACCAACCCAACCTCTTGGGAATAGTTTGTTTAATGTACCACTAGTAAGTGCTGTGTAGACTAAAACAAAGTCGCTATCTGCCGTCTGTCTGTCCCTGTGTATGCTTAGATCTTTAAAACTACGCAACGGATTATGATGCGGTTTTTTTTAATAAACAGAGTGATTCTTAAGGAAGGTTTATTTTATATGTATAATACATGAATATTGAACCCGTGCGAAGCCGGGGCGGGTCGCTAGTTCATAATAATTGGCGGTGTGCCCTACGGTGGCGGTGTGCCCTGCGTGGGCCGAGCACCGCCGTATCCTCAGGGAAGTGATCGAAGAAGGCAACCTCTCGCGTCCGGCTCTGGTTCAGACTATGGTGCGAAGTGAGGGAGACTGAGAGGCCGTCTCCTCCTTCTGCGAAGTAGTCATGCTAGCTAAGGGGGAGGCGGGGCGCGTGAGGGAACGAACCTCCTCATGCCCCAGCCATCGTAAGCATGGGTCTATGGACGGCGAGTACGGGTGTGTCTCGCCGCTCGACTAGAACCAGACCCGAGCATACGTCTCAAAGAGCCATCAGACCACCACAGATGGGCCCCAATAGGGCTAAGGAGCCGCGGAAGAATTAACGGGTTTCCAGGGCTCCGGCTTGAAATACAGGAGTAGGAACGGGGTGTTTTTAGTCAGGAAGAGTCTGACAATCCCTCTCGCCTCACCCGGGCGGGAGAAGTCATTGCATGATTTTCCCAACTTGATTACCCTTAACTGACCAACATGCATGAAAAGATTGATGACTGTTGATGAAGCGAGAGAGGTATGTACGAAGACGCCTGCCTACCCTGATGGAAGACAGGAGTGGGGATACGTATGTATGTACGTATATATGCAAATATTATTGTATGCATGTCTACTCAGAAAACTTTGATTCGATCCACACTCGGGTTAAGTAAAAGGCGTTCAATGAAACATTTTTAATTTAATTTCCAATATCAAAATACTAAACATTATGTCCTATTCCAGGTATTGGCACGAATAGGATTCGTGGCGGTATCAAAGACCTAGACGGTATTGGCGGCCTCAGCGTTATGGGTGGCCAAAGATAGTAGAACTCTCGTCAATAAAACAGTTTTACAAATAAATGTATCGACTTGACTTCTTCAATATTAAACAAAACAGAATCAGGCGTTACTTTGCGGAAATCCCTGCTTGCAAAGAAATTGGAAATACTTATTGTAGTTTTTAATTCAGATCGTCGTTTATCTACGGGTGTGAGGGCGGTGCTGAACACTGCATGCTGCAAATTCATTCCTTCAGAGGAATAAAACCTATATTTTTTTCCAGTAGTTAGTACTTCAACATTATAATTTGTAACAGAGCAGAAAACAGGAAGGCTCTCACTGTTAAATTTAGCAAAAATATTATTTAAAATCAATTGTACTCCTCGAAAATGATAGCGTAATCAAACAGCGGGCTAGTTAAATTATCAACAGATCAAATAAGTTGTTAAGTACTTACTCAAATTCAAATCAAATACTAAATACTTACTAAAGTTGTTGTTGAACATGGAAAAATAAATAAATTTAACCGTCATTTACCGAGATTAATGTAAAGGGCAAAATGGCAGACATCCCTTTGAAAATTACAAACGCTTGTTTATGGACCGCTAATCTCGGTAGTCGGTGGTCTCGTTTCATCGTTTGACACAAAAGAGTTTGACAGCTTACAAGTACTGTTGCTGTATGATGCGATTTTGTAGAATTTTTGTTAAAAAACACTAATTGGAATGGGTTAATCACAATTGAACAATGGATAACTTTTACTGCCGCTTCTGCGCCGAGCTCAAAAGCTCTGAAAAGCTCCTAAACCTACAGCTCGACTCGGAAAAACATGAAGAAGTAGTTTTAAAACTTGCGTTTGTTAATGCTGTGTATGTGAACGTAACAAATAGTGATACATTGCCGAAAACTGTTTGTTTAATATGCTACAACAGCCTGAATAAAGCTTACGACTTCTTGGACGGTGTGAAGCGCGCACAAGACGTATTAACCAACATATTCACGAGAGGCGGCGACGACAACAAATGCGATGTGTCTGATGACGATAGATGCACAGCATTTGACGATTTCCTTTGCAATGAGGACTCTTCTGTTGTTAAATTGGAGGGTAAGAAGTATGTGGAACCGCCTCAAATAGATATAAGCTTGGAAGTGAAGCATGAATTGAAAGAAGAACCGGATTTAGAGGATCAGGCGTACGATGACTCTCTGAACGTGCAGGACATACTTGACGCGGCTATATGTAATGCCTCCTTCAACTCCAACGTCACTATATATGCTAAAGAGCTCTCAGACTTGAGTAAAAAGGTTGTAAAGTCGTGGAAAGATTATCCATGGGTGTGTGGTTATTGTAACATAGAGTTTTTAAACATAGACATGTTGCGGTCCCACTGTAAGGTGGTGCACGGGAAGTGTTCTGCGTTCATGTGCATTGACTGTAAAGCTGGAAGGAATGAGGAGTTCACTAGCTTTGTTAAACACGTTCGGAAACATAAAAAGATATTGAGGTATGTATGTGTGATGAGATTATTATATTTCTCTACTCAGCTCTTATTGATCACAGTGTTATGTTTTATAGCTTATAGCCTTCTTCGATAAATGTCTGTGTGACTGCCCAACACAAAAAAGATTATTCAATTGGGATTTGTAGTTCTGACGATTAGCACATTCAAACAAACAGACTCCTCAGCTTTATATCTATACTATCTATACTAATATTATAAAGAGAAAAGATTTGTACCTATTTTTGTATGTTTGTAATGAATAGGCTCAAAAAGTACTGGGCCAATTTAAAAAATTCTTTCATCAATAGAATGCTACATTCTTCCAATTTGAAATAGGCTACATTTCATTTTGAAAAAAATTAGGGATCCTTGGTAAAATTTGAACAATGTAGCCGAAAGTGTAGAAAAATAAGTCTTAAAATATCTTTCGTCGAATGTGCTGCAGAAACTATTAGCGATATAACAAAATAATGTACAACAATATTGAAGAACATCATAATATCTACAAAAAACTCTGCGGTAGGATATGTCCAACTACTGTAGTTATGTCACTACAACAACCCAAATTTCCAAAAATTAATAATTGTCTACCCCATGCGAAGCTAGGACGGGCTGCTAGTGATAGTATAAAATATAAGACTTGATGTTACTGGTGACTCATCTATTTTAACCTGTAGAAATATTGTACCCTAAACTTGTTGATACGAAAGTAGTCTCTAAACATTGAAAATGAAGTCTATAATGTAACTACATTATAAACCTTTTTTCCGATGTTCTCCAGTAACTAGAGGAGAGTGATCACCGATGACTGCTTGAGGATTGAGTTGTTAAAAAAAGTAGTCTATTTGTTAGTATATCTCACCAACCTCATAATTATCTATATAAATATACAGGGTGTCCCAGAAGCCTATGATCAAATGGCACTAGGTTATTGGTAAAGTATGTCAACAGCTATCAGAAAAATATTAAAAAAAAATTAAGTTACTTATATAGTTTTTAAAACAATGACTTATGTGTTATCTACAAAAAAGTATGTACACCTGTAAATTTTTTTTGATGCCTGCTGTTACAATTCTTTATTTATTCATAATTATATATTTTTGCTTACATTACCTTGAACTATTCAAGTATTATGGAATCACTCAATGGACTGTCTCATTGGCTGAGTGGTTGCAAGTGCGACTGCCGGGCAAGGGGTCATGGGTTCCTGGGTCGGGCAAAGTATTACAGGGCTTTTGAAAAAAAAATCTCAGTTGCAGTACGGAGTCTGGAATTATGCACAGTATATGGCAATAGGCTCACCCTCTATTACATAGAACTCATAACATAAATAGTGAAAAGTCGGTGTTACATTGTACAGTGGTATAATGTACACCTCTGCCTACCCCTTATTCGCCTTTTATACCACGGGAATATAAGGCGTGTTGTTATGTTATGATATTATGGAATCAAATTCTGGACCAACAGCTCTAGTTTAGAAAAAATGCCGCTTTTTGATGAACCAAGTGTTCTAAATAATTTTTACTCCTTACCTTCAATGATTGTACTGAAAATATAGTGTATTAAACTATTAGTGGCGAACCACACCAAAAGTGGCGCATTTAATAAAGATTCTAAAATGGAATTCAGTGTAGAACTTTCTCAGATTTAGTTTTAACTAAAATGGCGGGTTACTCATGTGAATATACTGAGAAACATAGGGCTGTTTTTTGTTGTTCAAAGTCAAAGTAAATATTAAATAATAAGAAAAATGACAGTCTGTCGGTCAGTCCTCTAATGAAGCTATTTGCTCGTTCCAAGGTGTAGATTCCTATGGAGAAGAACGAGCAAGAAATCTATATAGGTTACTCTTTTTCAATCATGTTCACAATACAATTTTTGGTTACATTCTTTCGTTGAGTTCAATAATGTGAAAACAATGTACCTAATACCAATATGTGGTCAAGGAGACGGAAAAAGAAAATAACCTTGAGGACAACAAATTTAGTACAGTCTGGAGCTGACCAGTCCTATTTGACAGCGCCCGTTAACGAACATGACACGTACACCAGCACCGCCCAACTCGACCATGTTGTAGGGAATCGAGCGATCCACTGCCCGTGCCACTGCCAATGAGACTTTTGAGTGAGCATGACAACTCCAAGCTGACACACATGCATTCTACTAGTCTAATATAATTTAGTTAGTTACAGGGTTCTCACATTTACAATAATATTAAATTTTTCTAAAAATAATTCAATTTCTAGGACTTTAGATGAGATTCCCTGCATATTTTGACTAAACAATGTTAACACAGAGTCCTGTCTGTTCTTATGTACAGCTAATAAAGCTGCTGACTTAAATATACCGCCAGTAGATAACTTATCAATGCATGAAACTTTTTTTTGTGTAATTTACATACTTGGTTATCTTCTGTTGTCTCAGACATTAGTTTTAAAAGTTAGCCGGAGTACTACCCACATTTATAGTCGAATTATGAGTCTCCTTTGTAAAATCATTTATACAATTAATCTCTATATTATTAGATTGTCTAGCTAGATAATATAGATTTGTCACTTAAACTACTTAAAACTAAATTAATACTATTTGCTAGCAAACTAGCAAGTAAAACTTTACATTTCATGAACGAACATGTATTCCTTGGTCAATTTAAGTTCTGTGCTCTTCTTTGCTTGTTTCTTGTTCTCCTGCATAAGCATCTACATATTGAATCAGCTAGCTTCAGTTATTAAGTGACTAAACTGTTATGACCTATTTTTTGATATTTCAAAGTAGCCTACAGTGGGATTGTATGTCAATTCGGCCCATCAAATATAAAAAAATATTAAGTACCTAAACACAAGTATGACTCATCTCAGGTGCTTTTAATCGACATGTATCCTAAATTATTATCGAAAATCCTTCCACTACTATCCTCTTGGAACCCTCTTCAGTTAATTCTAATATTTATAGTAGTGGTATTTATCTTCAAACAGATTTTATCCAATAAATATAGCTACGAAACAAATTTGACCCAACTCCAGTGCTTCTAATCAACTCATGTCTTTACTACTATCGAAAATTCTCGCGCCGAAACTAGTTTGATTCAACTTATGTTGTAATCAATTTCTTTTAACTAAGTGTGGGAGAGCCATGCTTCGGCATGAATGGACCGGCTCGACAAGAGTGATACCACGGCCTTACAGAAAACCGACGTGAAGCAACGCTTGCGTTGTGTTTCGTCGTGTGAGTGAAGTTACCGGAGGCCCGATTACCCTCCCCTTCCCCAATCTCCCCAATTAATGAATCCCCAACGGTCATCAAACTCCTAATCCCCAAAAGGCCGATAACGCACTTGTAACGCCTCTGGTGTTCCAGGTGTCCATTGGCGACGCTTGCTTACCATCAGGTGATCCGTCTGCTCGTTTACCGGCCTATACCAATAAAAAAACTACTTACTATCAAAAACTTCACGAACCACCCTCAGTTAAGTCTACCGTTGGCAGTTGAGCAGTTGGCTCAAAATTTATTTTAATTCCATAATACTGGAGCCCTATTCAGGATAGCGTAACCAATACAACCAAATACAGACGAAAACAAAGAATTGTAGCAGCAAGAGCCAATAAACTGGCACAGGGTGTACTTTTTCGTGGATTTCACATATAAAATAAAATAAAAATAAATAAAAATGAAAAAGCCTTGTATTTCCCAATTAAAAAAAATATACATTTCCAAAAAATAAAAATAGAAAGCATATCATTTTATATCATGTTTCATTTTAGGGAACCCCTGAGGTGAAGGCCTCCTCCAGAGACTGCCATCTTTCTCGATCTTTTGCTGTATCTAGCCAGCGTACTCCAGCCACACGTAGGATTTCGTCGTCCCATCGTGTGTGCGGTCTTCCTCTTTTCCTTTTTCCTATTGGTCCTTTCCATGTTGTAATTATTTTTGTCCATCTATTGTCTTGTAACCTTGCTACATGACCTGCCCATTTCCACTTTAGTCTAAGTGCATATGAAACTGCGTCAATTGCTTTGGATTTCGCTCTAATTTTTGAGTGACGGATTCTGTGTTGTTTTTTGATATTGAACATGCTGCGCTCCATTCCCCTTTGGCACGAGATAATTTTGTTCTTAACAGCGGTGCTATATTTCCATGTTTGACATGCATATGTTAAGCATGGGAGCAGATTTGAATCCATTACTTTCTTTTTTAGTTCCACTGGGAGGTCGCTTTTGAACACTTCTTTAAGACTCCAGTATTTATTCCAAGTCTGATTAACTCTCCGTTCTACCTCTAATAAGTTACTGTTTTTAGCGAAAGAGATCTGCTTTCCCAAGTATATGTATTCCTTGACGTATTCGAGAGATATGTCATTGGCATTTATAGGTTTTTGTGTACTGTTAGTCATAATTTTTGTTTTTGACGAGTTCATTTCAAGACCCACTTGTATGCTTGCAAGGTGCAGTGTAGTTATCATGTGTTGTAATTGGCTAGAGCATTCAGACACTATAACTATATCGTCTGCGAATCTTAGGTGATTAAAGTATTTCCCTTGTATGTATATGCCACAGCCATTCCAATCCAGCTGTCCAAAAATTGTTTCCAAAACAGAAATAAAAAGTGTAGGGGATAGTGGGTCTCCCTGCCTTACTCCTCTTTTTATATCTATTAGTGGACCTAAAGTTTCTAATTTCACCTTGCTAGTACATTTTTCGTAGATGTTTTTTAAAACTTCGATATATTGTCTCTCCACGTTATGTTTTCTTAGCGCGTCCCATATACTTGAGTGTGATAATGTGTCGAATGCTTTTTGATAATCGATAAAGGATTTCACATAAGCCATTGTAATTTGAAAACTATATGACTTAGATTATTTTTTATATTTTTCTAATAATTGTTGAAATCTTGCTGATCACTTGGTGCTATTTGATCGTGGACTTCAGGGACACCCTGTATGTATTCAATTTCCACTCAAATTTTATGTATCTGTATAGAGTATAGATATTATTTATTTATTTATTTTTCAACTTCATACAACAAATGTGTACAGGTGGACTTAATGCCTTGGGCATTGTCAGATATTGACGATTGAATATTGATTTCCCAATTTCCAGGAACCACTGCTACTACTGCGACCTGGAGCTAGACAAAACAGAGAAGCTAACAGCGCACATAAAGGAACACTTCGTCAAATCACAACTACCGTGTCCGTTATGTGGAGAAATACTTAAAAACGAGGACTCACTCAAAATACACTTACAAGACTATAATATAACTAAACAGAAACGCAGACCGAGAAGGAAACCTGGGACCCCAATCACCATTGAAGATCTCACCTGTGGATTATGTAAGAAGGTTTATAAAAACCCCAACAGCCTTCGAGATCACATGAAACTACACACAATAGACCGGAAGAGAAATTACACATGTGACCGATGTGGCAAGATGTTTTACAACAAAGGTACGCTCACATCCCACATCCTATCTCATGACAAGAACCGTCCACATGTATGTAGAATTTGTAATAAGTCTTTTTTGTACCCGAATATGTTGAGACGGCACGTTGAGATGCATTCCGGAGTGAAGCCGTTCTCTTGTGAACAGTGTGGTAGATGCTTTAGGCTCCAATACCAGTTAAATGCCCATAAAATTATCCACACCGACTCCATGCCTTATGTATGTTCTTATTGCAATAAAGCGTTTAGATTTAAGCAGATTTTAAAGAATCATGAACGACAGCACACCGGTGCCAAGCCCTATGCTTGTCAGCATTGCGGTATGGAGTTTACAAACTGGTCTAATTATAATAAGCATATGAAACGTAGACACAATATGGACACTTCGAAGAAAAAGATCACTCCGGAAGGTGTGTTTCCTATCAATCCGGAGACCGGACAGATAATGCAGGTCCAGGATCCAGTTGGTACCGAAGAATGGAAGAGTAAGATCATGATTCCAGGAAAGAGGGGGAAGAAAAAGGTTATAAAACATGAGGACATTTAGCTAGGGATACGTGTTCAGTTTGATAGTCGAAAAGTAACTTTAAAACGGAGGTTATAAGATTAATTTTGCAATGGTTTTATTTATTGACTTAATTTTTTGTTTTTAATGAATAAATAATTGAATGGGCACACAACAAATCAAGTTACTATAATCTGCCAGAGATCTGCAATAGATTTCCAATCTTATAATTTGAGTACACTGCAAATAGCATCTTATTGCTGTGAAATAAGGTTTATAATCACTGCCAATTCATGCCTGTTGTTAATATATTATTAGTAAAGATGTACTTATTTTGTAGATGTTTATTGATGTTTGTTATGGTACTCAAACACTGCTGGGCTATATATTAATAGATTTCCAACCTTATGTTTTTGTAATAACATAAAAAATTGAATAATAAAACTTCAGACACATAGCTACCGATTACTGTCGTAAAATATATGTAAAATTGTATAAAATTAATTATTGTGTTTTCGGCTTACTCACGTAATAATTTGACGAGGAACTCGACTAGTTTCAAGCCATGCTAGAGGCTCATATTCATGAGCAGCAATCCGCGACCCGCGACGCGGCAACTGTCGCGCTGCTACATGCTAATTTAGTATGTCTCGCGAAAGTTTGATTATAAAATTAAAACATCACAAAATGTATGTACCTATATATACATTATGTTTCTTTAAAATATATTAACTAAGTTATTTATTGGTAAAACAAAGAAACAAACGAATCTGTACTTACCAGTGTCTTTTTTGTTATGAGTTTTCAACTTTAATTATGTTTTAATAAAGTTAAAAATCTATTAAAATTGATAATGTAAATAGGTTGATGTACATTCAGCACAGCTTACTAAGCAGGTAAGAAAAAAGCTTGACGCAGTACAGAGACAGTAACCATTGGTTGTCTACGGAACCGACCAATGGTTACTGATAATGTGGCTTGGTGAAAACTATATAAATTATTATAGCAATAGATACTGTCTGTATCGAGTCAATCTCTATTTTCTTACCTGTATAGTAAAAAATTGTTCACACTACTGGGCCGGCTTGACCGAAGCTATACCACGGCCGAACAGAAAAACCATAGTGAAAACACTACAACATTGTTTCTATGTGAGGGAGGTTTCTGGAGGCCCAATCCTCCGCCAATCTCCAATCGTTACGTCCGGCAACGTACTTGGAACTCCCCTTTTATTTTGAAGGGGACTAATCATCCAATTATTTCTCCCGCTCGCGTGAGGCGTGGGTGTCAGACTCTTACTGACTAAAAACCACCCCGTGCCTACTGCGTTCCTCTGCAGCTCCGGGTCGGGCAATAGCCCCGCTGGGCTTACGGGGCTATTTTATAAGATGTCTATTGGAAATCTCGAAGTAAGCTGGATCGCATTCTCGCTCATCATTGGTCGAGATTATCATCACAATCAATGACATGGCGAACCGTGATCGAGTTCGCTTTGAGTGTAACTCCTCTAGCTGGGTGCTCAATCTTGAAACCAATGTCAACGCATTTTCAATCCAATAAACTCTCAATAATTTTTTTTTTTTTAAACGTCGCCCCACACTTGGATTTTCTCCTGTGTCGTGGGTGCGTTTACAAACATACAAGTTCACGTACACAATGACACCCAGACCCGAAACAACAATTTGTGGATCACACAAAGTGTTGTCTCGTGCGGGAATCGAACCCGCGACACGTTGCACGGCAGCCAGTTGCCCAGCCACCGCACCAACCGTGCAGTCCATTGACATTATTCAATGTTAAAACTATATAACCTCTATCGTAGCTGTTGAAATAGCATTCAGAGTACAGAATTTTAAGCCAAACTCAATACCATTTAGTTCATTAAATATCCACACAATATACGAATATGCAATGGGCGCTGGTGTTGCAACTCAAAAGTACGAAATTTCACTATACCAATGTCGATTGATCTGAATTGGATTCAAGAGAAAGCCCCCAGGTGATAATACATCTGCTCATTTGAACCACTTAAAACATAATGAGCCCGTAGTAAATTAATTGATAGTATTATTATTTTAAATTAAAGTGATTTTATTTATGTAATAGTTTGTACAATAATAGTAATATAAGATGCACAGCTTTGCAGTATGAAATGCAATATTATATTATATTTTATTATGAAATAAATAAATTAATGTATAGCACACGATTGTGTAATAAATGAGTTATGTAAAATACGGTTTTATTTTTTAATTATACACCGTGAATTCTATTTCGTTTTTGTCCCGAAGTAAAATGGTTTTTTTGGTAACACATTAAAAAAAATAACAACAGGGATAAATAATAGTCTGGAATCTTACATATTATATTTATTCCACGGGAACGAGACCAGAAGCTAGTCAAACAATAAGGGCAAAGTTTTTCCTCCCAGACTCAGTACTTAGAAGTTTTCGGAAAACCGAAAACAAATACACATTGCCTGGTTCAAGATCGAACCAAAAGTCTCACGCTCAGTGGTCACAACTCACATTTGCGGCCACATCGGGTAAAGTAGGATAGATACCTATCTATCCTTCTTGTATATGTACCTACATGGTATGGGTTGTAGTCTCCAGAAATCCATAGCAGAAATCTCAGTAACATTCAGATGATTAAAAACTAGTTTGTATACAAAAAAAAACTCTTACTTAACCCTCAGACAGAATCCCATCCTCTATAGGAATCTCTAAATAGTTAGTAGTAGTAGTAATACTTACTACTACTACTAAATAATTCTGGGACTCCTAACAATCAGCTGTTGCACGTAGGACAAATTCACCATCGAGACAATTTTATTTCCATTCTTATCTTATTCCCTTCTTCGAGTCTGTCCTTTCGACCCTTAGCTGACTTAGCACATCCCTTATACTAGTGCTGTGCCCATTATAGATGTTTTTCGTTTTCCGGTTTTTACTAAAAAGAAAATAAATGCTTCTGGTGGCTTAGCAGAATATTAAATTCATCTTAAATAACGTGAATATAATTTCAAGGGCGAATCAATGATCGATATGGAATAAAAATGATCGTTCCATCTCGCACGAAGTTTTTTTTTTTTCGATCGCAGAACATTTTGACAGCACAACACAATGTCAATAATGTCATCCTTTCAGCTGTCAAACATTCACAAAAACTACGAAAGTGGCTTGAATTCGTAAAAAATGACAATCTTTGTCTAATATAAATAAATAACAACATTATTTTGTGATGGATTTCAATGAAAATGTATATTGCAGGCTCTGTGCCGAGTTAAAGCCTCACAGCAAACTGCTAAATCTTCAAAATGACGCGGACAAATATCTCGATATTGTCAATAAATTGTCTCGATTCAATGTGCAAATGGATTTCAACGACGAAATATTACCAAAAACAACTTGTTTCTCTTGTGTTAATGCGTTAAATAATGCCTTTGATTTCGTGACTGGAGTAGAGCTGGCTCAATCAACTCTAAACGATGTTATTTTAAAGAAACAAATAAAAAAAGAGGAGACACTATCAGACGCAGAAACCTATGTAATTTATGAACCTCCAGAAACAGAAACTTATGAATCAGATATTACTATTAAAGTTGAATCGGACAACCAGCAGTGTACTAGCCAAACAGAAGTAAATGAAAGTCCAAATACAGTCAGAAATAAAAAAGTAAAGAAAATGTGCTATAGTTTAGATGCATTACCTTTATCAGAGTTGAAATTAACTTGGGAGAACTTTACCTGGCAATGTGGATTTTGTGAAACTCAGTTCCCTACTATAGATGAGTTACAAAGTCATTCTATGCAGTACCACAGTGTCTGTAATGCATTTTACTGCATGGACTGCAAAACGAGGAAGCTACGTCTCGACAACTTCTTAGTGCATGTAAAACGGCACCGAAATTATTTAAAATTCTCTTGTTACAAATGTACCATAAAATTCCCAAGATTATTTGAGGCCAGCAAACACAAAGATGCACATAAAACATCTGATCACATATGTTCTGGATGCAACATGTGTTTCGAAAATGAGGAGGAATTAAATAAACATGTCATAACTTACCTGAAAGGGTTACGAGGTGAACTGTCACCTGAACAGAAGTTGAACAGTGATAGTCTAACATGCACAATTTGTGAGAGAACATGCAAAAGTAAAAATAGCTTGTCCTCGCATATGCTAACACATACGGACAGGAAGAAAACCTACACTTGTGAGATTTGCGGTAAAGGTTTCTTCCTTAAAGGGTCTTTAGCCAATCACATGATTCAACATTCGGACGCAAGACCACATCAATGTGAAATATGCAAGTTAACTTTTAAAACTCCAAGGTGTTTACGTAATCATGCTGGTGTACATGATGGAGGGAAACCGTATTCTTGTGACAAATGTGGACGATGCTTTAGACTAAAATCTCAGTTAAGGAACCACTTGATAGTCCACACTGACTCACTGCCTTTTTTGTGTACGTACTGCAGTAAACGTTTCCGTTTCAAATCAATACTCAATCAACATGTGCGCCAACACACTGGGGTTAAACCATATTCTTGTACTATCTGTCAAAGGGACTTTACAAACTGGCCTAATTTTAATAAGCACATGAAACGTAGACATGGTACGGACATGGCAAAGAAGAAACATACCTCGGTAGGTACATATCCTATTGACCCTGTGACGGGACAGATTATGTATCCAGAGGAGGAGAAACTGAATGAATGGAAGAAGAAAATGATGGATTACAAAAGAGTAAGAAAACCGAGGGATAATGTTAAGCCAACTGACTTACAAACAGCAAATAATGAAGTAAGTTTAATAAATAATCAGATAGAAAATTGATGTACAATTAGATATTATCTATGTTAGTAAGTTTTTCCTTATTGAAATTGAAATATAAAGATCCGGGTCTGAAAAAAATAGATAATATTTATGTGGTTATACTTATTGTGGTGCTTTAAGTGCAATTTAGTTGAAGAATTTTGCAAATGAATGCAATTAAATGAAAGTGAGTTTGTAAAAATATTGAACTTAGTTTATTGTCTACTGTTATTGTAATAATGGAAGTTTAACTGTTGAACTTATAGCAATCATTCCAGTTTTTATTTATCTCTTTATTGTATCAGAAATTAAAATATTTTTAAAATAGTAAGCAAAGCGAATTCTTATTGCCTCTAAGGATACTCCATTATGCGTTACGAATCGACGAACAATGGGTACTCGACTAGTTTCAAGTTGAACCAGGAGCCCATAATCATAAGCAGGTTGCGCAACAATCAATATGACCAGTGCATAATATTTTTCCCTCAATTTTAATTTAGTATGGTAATAAAATCGGGAACCTGTTGCCTGTTGAGTTGAAAAGATTTTTTTTTTCCGTATTTTTTTAAACCAATATCTATGTAGTTATATTAAGCTTTGCCTTCTGAACTAAGCGATGCATGTATCTCAGAAGTCAGAACGCAGTTAAAATAAAGTAGCAGCTACACTTTATTTATTTATCTATGTTAGCGCAACTGTATCTGTATTTAGGTACCAAATTGTTGACTAGACTAGATATTGTTTCGTGGTGCAATACTTAATTGTTAAATCATATTACGTACTTATAATATGTTCTAAATGTTACTTAATAAATGTTTAAAAATACTAAAATGGTTTTGTTTGATTTGCTGCGTCCTGCATCTGGTCAAAAAGATCGAAACCATAATTTTTTTTTTCGAAAGTTTAATGATAATTTGTTGGTAATCAGATAACTTTTGTTACATTGAACTTTTGACATAACTGGTAAAAAGTGAGGCGTTAGGTATATAGTTACACCTATGTCAAGTGTCCACCCTTCCGAGTATTAAAAAGCGTGTTTATAGTCTACAGATGTCTATATATTACGTGATAAACTTATCCAAAATAATACGTGTATACTGGAGAGTCTATAGGTATATAAGTAAACTAATATAAAAATGAATCGCCGAATATTGTGTTGCTAACCGCAAATCTCGAGGCCAGCTGAGCTGAATAGATTTTGCTAATTCTTTCTTCTCAATGACTCAATGACTGCCTCGTTGGCCGAGTGGTCGCAAGTGCGATTGCCGGGCAAGGGGTCTCGGGTTCGATTCCCAGGTCAGGCAAAGTATTACTGGGTTTTTAAAAAATTCTCAGTAGTACCACGGAGTCTGGAATTGTGCGCGGTATATGGCAATAGGCTCAGTCACCCTCTATTACATGGGACTCGTAACATAAATAGTGAAAAATGGGTGTTTCATTGTACAATGGCATAATGTGCACCTTTGCCTACTCCTTCGGGGATTAAGGGATAAAGTGATGTTATGTTATGTCTTTCTCCTCAAGAGAAGCTTTGTTCTAACAATAACAGAACCTCCGAGAAAGTTCAGAAAAATTTCTGAAACTTAGTTTGCGGTGTCCGTACATAGGATACATAAATATAACTTAAGTGTTATTTAGAAATTTTTAAATTAATGACGATAAAACAAAGAAAAAACTGATGCACTGCTCATGAGCAGTGAACTAACAATATGTAATCTGTGATGAATCTGTGGTCGAAATGTGTCAAAAAAAATAGAAAAAACTGTTTTTTTTTTTTTTTTTTTCCTCTTTGGCAAACGAGTCTCCAAAATGTTTTTTTTTTTTTTTTTGCCAGTGTCCAGTGGTGACGGTAGTTTAATGAACCTTTTTTTTTTACATTGTGGTAGTTTTTAGTTGTTAGTAGCTGAAAGGACAAAACACTTGGGTTAGTGACATATAATTATTATCAACTATTTTACTGTATATATACAGAGGTGTAGAAAATAGTTGAGGGGACATACACAATACAGACAGATAAGTATGTACATCATTTACATTATTGAACACCGTCATATCTTAATCTCATTTTCATTGATGAATTTACTTAAACAATGGATTAGTTTATGGGAAAAGTGAGTAAAAAGGAGGTGGAAACTGATTGGAAGCGGGATTTGGATACTGGGGAGTTTTTGATAGAGGTCAAAGGATTGGGAGTTTAAGGGGCACGAAAAAAATATATGATCTAAAGTTCCCTCGTCAAGGCCGCATTCGCACAGTGAGCTGTCGCGGACGCGGATCTTGCTGAGGAAGAAAAAACTGTTTTGGCAGGCATTTGTCAGGTGACAGTTTGACAGATTCTTATAGTTTTGTTGATTGTTATTGTTTCCTTCGATCATTTTTAATTAACCTTATTGTAGCGTTTCTGAGGAAAGCAGCGGAACAAAACGATGTAGATAAATAAGTAAAATATATTATTAATATTACCTGATAAACAACACGTTCCAGGTCGGTTTGATGTGATGATCTGCGAGTGAACAAATTAAATCACAAACAGATTTGATCCGCGAATCACATTTTTAGACAGAACTCAATCTTCTTAAAACCCGACAATGAACACAACAACGTGGTACTGCCGGCTCTGCGCGGGATTAACATTGCGCGCCAAATTAGTAAACTTACAGACTGACGAGAAATTATGTGAAGAAGTTATCAAAAAGCTGTCCAGGTTCCATATAACAATGGACTTCCAGGATAACATTTTACCTAAAACCGTATGCGATGTCTGCATTAAGTCTTTGGACCACGCATTTAAGTTTATTTGCGCGGTCGATGAAGCCCAGGGCTTTCTAAGCGATTTTGTTTTGGTGAAATGTAGTGAGACTAGTGAGTGTGATTTAGAACAAGATACCATCTCTTATGAACTGGTTGATACCAATACCTGTGATCCTATGGAAATAAGTGTCAAAGATTGTTATTCAAATGACCAAGTTAAATTTAAAGTTGATAATAGGGATGACTGTATTAATTATATTATTAAAAAAGAACTTGAGATTGTGGGTTTGGAGCCTCTTGTTACTGATACTTGTAGTACAATTGATCATAAGGTCACCGAAATTGTAGATATTAAGTCAAATATACCATTGAATAACAATCCAGATGATAATATTGAAAATAATACAATTATTGTTACTACACATGAAGAAGTAACAAATCATGATGTTCATGTCATAAGCCAAGATGAAAAAACTAGTATAAATGCCAGTGCAACCCTCGAAGACCAAAAGAATACAGTTAAAAAGAAAAATACTAAGAAAATAAAATTAAAGACACCAACACAGACTAAGAAAACTACTGAACCAAAGAATGTTCCAAACACTGGAAACTATACAGAAAATGAAGTCAATGAGTTGATTAAAAACTTAGACTATGTGCCTGAACAGTACATTACAAAAACTTGGCAGGATTACCTCTGGCAATGTTCTCAATGTGGAACTCAATTCACAAATATGGAGGACCTCCAGAAACACTCCATGGAGTTCCATAACAGCTGTAGCTCCTACAAATGAGCTGACTGTAGCAGCCGGACTTCAAATCTCAAGATTTTCCTGAATCACATTCAGGGACATCACCACAAATACCTGCGCTACTCATGTTACAAGTGTTACAAGATATTCTCTAACCCAAGTGAGGTATTGAAACACAGAAATAAAACCCACAAGTTCCCCAATATGTGCAAAGGGTGCTACAGCAATTTCCCCACTAAGGAACTATTAAAGGAACATACAGACAAATATTACAAAAAATTAGTAAATCAAAAAAAGTACAAGAATTTAAGAATAGATAATTCCACATGTAGAATATGCTATAAAAGTTTCAAGAACTATGCAACCTACAAAAATCATTTTATTAGTCATCATACAAAGCAAAGTTGCAATATTATTTGTGATATATGTGGTAAAAGTTTTAAAATAAAAGGAAGTTTTACTAGTCATGTCACAATACATAAAAATTTGAATAAATTTCAGTGTGACATTTGGACGTAGTTTCTGAAAAACGTTCCAACCCACAATTCGATCAAAATTGAGTTATGAGTACTATAAGCGTCACATTATTGCTTTATACTAACTGTCAAAATTTTTTAGCTCTACTGTCATTTTAATAATAAAATCCTGATCTAGTAGCCCAACCCACATGTATGGAGAACACAAATAAGTATTAAACTAAAAGAGCCCAAGCTGTGTGGAACAACACAAATAAAAAACAGAGTCATAAAGGATTTTCTAAAAAGTGATCCAAGCTATATGAAACGTTTTTGATATTTTAAAATTGCCTGAGCTTATTAAAATAGTTGTTTAACTAAAACGTTCCAAGCTACATGAAACGTTTTTGTTAAAATCAATATGTTCACTCTCCGTAGAATAGACATTTCATTATAATAATCCAAACCATTTGAAACGTTTTTGATTTAAGTAAATGTTAGCCATCTCGGCAAAATATAATAATCTTTAATAAGTTCCAAGTCATAAGAAACGTTTTTGATTTAATAATATACTTGACGTCGGCCAAATAAGTAATTCATTAAAAAGTTCCATTGTAAGTCAACATAACAACAGTGACAAAAGAAAGTTTGTATTTTAATATTAATCACTTTATAATAAAGTTTAATATTTCCTATTGCACTCACATTTACGTTCAAAATTATTTATTAAATTATTTTGAATAGTGCTTCTATTAATACTTGCCCACGAGTGCAAGCGAGACAGACTATTTCTCTAATGTCATTGTGAATCTTGACTCATCAGTCAGTACGTAGGACGCAAGCGTCGTGGTAGGAGTGTGTACTCGTATTGCCAGTGTCGTGTTTTGTTTCGAATTATCGTTGTTTCGTTAATTACTAAGTGATCTGTGTAAATTCATTCTATTTCGTGTCCTGTGATCTTTTTATTATAATAATATTGACAATGGAATCTGAGGAAAACGTAAGTTTTTAATGCTAATTAAAATACCTATTTATCGTAAAAGATATTTGTTGACTGGTTCATTAATATAAGTTTAACTTCCTACATAATCGTTTTATTTATTTGTTACAGACTCTGAAATTGGAAAAGTTATTGGATAAAAGACGTAAATTAATTGATCTCCGCAAAAAACTAACCTCCCAAGGACAAATTGAAGTTGAAACCACTGGTTTGATGGATACTTTGAAGGAAAACATTCCTGACCGGATGAAACAGGATGAAAAAAATACTAATGAAGGTATAGTATTTAGTTAGCTAATCATGGTTATTTTGTTCATTACATTTTTTAATAATGAATTTCGTTTAAAGTCGCATGAATCAAAATACCTACAGCTTTGGAAACAGTCTTGAGTGATTTTCGTTTGTTTTATTAAGATCGCACTTTACGTACAGCTAATAGCTATAATATCCTTATTAAAGGGATGTGCATGGAATGATGGTGTGGGCAAATAAATATTTTCATTTCAGTGTAGGACACGCTAAAAGTTCTGATAAAAGAGGTAGCCAACGATGTTACCAACCGCTAAACAAACCATTTCTTCATCTTATGTAAGTATTTATGTAGTGAGTATATTTCATGCGTATTTTTTACAGACGTGAAGACTATACCGGCCCTACAATTAATAGTCCAACCTTCAAACAGTACTTCAATAATATATCAAGATCCCAATGTCTCAGATACAGATAATATAGCGAGTGTAGAAAGTAAGAACTATTCCCCATAACTATTCTCCCCATGAAATATTAAAAAAATGTTTTATTCTAAAGGTTTAAAAATGACGGCGATTTTAAAAAAAAGGACAAGGTATTTTTTTATAAAGGAACTAGTGACCGCTAAAAAAATCGCCCGCGTTTTTTTTGGGTTGTCACAGATAGTTTTTAGTTTGCCTGTGCAAGTTTTTTTTTTTGGGTTTTGTAAAATCCTTTCTTAGTCACCCCTAGACTTAATAAGGAACCTATGTGCAAATTTGGAGTCCCTAGGTCCAGCGGTTTGGGCTGTGCGTTAATATCTGTCAATCACCAGTCAGTTTTCTTCTTTTGTATATACATATTTAGATTACATTTAGATGAGTTGAGTTTTCAAGGTAGTTAAATTGTTGTTGTAACTTTATACTAAAACATTTCATTTTTTTCAGGTTATATTTCCTTGGATCCTCCTTCTTATTCGCCAATCACTCCTCGAAATACTAACAATGACAATATATTGAAAATACATAGTGATTGGTTTACTGAGGCATCACCAAGTCCAGATTTACAGAATAAACCTGAAGAGATTGTACAAGATTCTTCTAAAAATGGGTTTCAAAGTTAGCCATACATTTCTTTTTAATTACTTATTAGTATACACATCCATTTAAAAATACATTTCTCATATACTATGCATGTTACAATACTATAAATAGACGTAATGCTACATAATAATCATGAAGCATTACGTGTATTTATTGAAATATATGTTGTATTTTTTCAGGAATTGAAGATTCTCCAGTAAGAGCAATGTCACCAGCTACACTAGGTCTATTAAACACACTTTTGAGTGGCAGTGATGATGATGATGATAGTGTCAAAGATCCAAATTACATAGTTTCCGAGAGTTCAGACATTTCAGATACGGAGAGCGAATCAATTTTATTACCTAGAAGTATTACACAGGAACAGAACATGGAGGAAGAATGTAGTAATAATTTAAACAAAGATCTAGGAGAAGAAACAAGGCATAGCACGTGTGAAGAAGAACCTTTTGCAGTAAATAATGTCAGTAGTGAAGAAGAAACTACAGAAAAAAGACAAAGTCGGCCAAAAAGGGGGCGAAAACGAAAATTCAATGACTATACGCTAGCTCAAAGAAAATCTCGCAAATATGCTAATTTGCCGTACAGAGGAAAAAATAAAGAAGTAAATGCAAGAACGTTTAAAAATTACACTTGCGTTTGCAAAAAACAGTGTCATTTGAACGTGACAGAAGAAGACAGAAAAAAAGAATTTAATAAATTTATCACACTTGGGTCGTACGAAGCTCAGTTACTGTACATTTGTTCAAACGTTACGGAAACACGTAAAAAACGGTCCTATATATCTGAAAATACTTCATCCCAGGTTAAAAAGCCACGAAACTTCTCCAGAACTTATAAAATTTCAAATATTGCTGTATGCCGTGACATGTTCTTAAACACATTTCAAGTTACCACGCAAAAGATCACAATTAGTTTAAAAAAACAACGCGATGGTAATTTATTACGTGATTGTAGAGGACTTTCATCTGGTGGCTGGAATAAAACTCCGGAAGAAAAAATAGATTTTGTGTGTCATGTTATAAATAAATTACCAAAATATAAATCCCACTACAGAAGAACACAAAATGGGGCTGCGTTATATTTACAACCAGGACTTACAATTCAAAAAATTTATGATTTATACGTTGACGAATTTAAACTTATTCATGGCAATGACAGCAAAGATCATGTATCATTAGCCATTTTCAGGAAAATTTTCCTAAAAAACTTTAACTTAAGATTTAAAAGTCTTAAGAAAGACACGTGTAATAGATGTGACACATTTGCAGCAAAACTAAAGGCCCCGAATGATTTGTCAATAGAAAACAGAAACCAATTGATTGCGGAAAAAGAGAAGCATTTAAAATTAGCCGAGACCTTACGAAGCCAAATGAACAGCCAGATTGAAAGAGCAAAAGTAGATGAAACATTTGAGTGTTTAACATTTGACATGGAGAAGACGTTGCCTTTACCACGTATTCCAACAAATATAGTATTTTACAAGAGGCAACTCTGGTTTTATAACTGCGGTGTTCATGTGTCTTCTACAAATCAAGGATATTGTTTTGTTTGGGTCGAGGGTCAAGCTGGCAGGGGAGCTCAAGAAGTTGGGTCCTGTTTGAAAAAATTTATAAATGAAGTAATGCGTCCTAATGTTGAATATCTATCATTGTGGAGCGACAGTTGCGGGGGCCAAAATCGAAACATAAAAATGGTGCTCTTACTTAAAGTTATATTAGCTAGCCATCCTACCTTAAAAGTGATTGATTTAAATTTCCTAGAGAGTGGGCATACTTTTTTGCCAAATGACACAGACTTTGGTAAAATCGAAAGTCATTTAAAAAATTTTCAAAGATTATACACTGCAGAAGATTACGTAAATGTGATAAAGACTTGCACAAAAAAGACCCCTCTAGTCCCTGTGAAGATGGAAAAAGAAGACTTTGTTAGTACTGAAAAATTAGAAAAAAATATTACAAATCGAAAGCTGTTCGTTAATAAACTTAAAGTTAATTGGCTAAGGACCAAACATATTCAATTAAGAAAGGATAATGTACACTCTATCTTCATGAGGTCAGATGATATTGAGGAATATCAAGAGTTGTACATAGGGCGAAAATTTAAAGGAAGCATGCTGCCTTTAAGCTCAGAACTCCTAATACCACTCTGGCCAGACGGAAAACCTATTACCCAAGCTAAATTAAATGACATAAAGTCAATGTTCAATCTAATTCCTGAGGATTGTCTGTCTTTTTATAAAAACCTGCAGGGCATGGAAGGACCCGATTATGTTGAAGGATTTTCTGGTGGACAAGACTTTAATTTTGAAGACGATGAAGAAGAACTAGTTTAGTCTAGTTATTTTTACCAATAAATAAAATTTTATTTCTATTTTAATCTGGTTTTATTCTTATTATCTTGTCATACATATCGTTTGGAACGTTTTTTATAAATACAATTTTGAAATGTAACATGAAAATTGCAATAAATCAAAAACGTTCCACAGCAATATTTTTGTGAATATTTAAAAAAATATAAACATTGGAAGTCTAAAATAGGGTCAAATTAAAACTTGATTATGTCATTCATAGCACACAAAAGTTTATTTAGTAAAAAAATAATGATGTCATAAAGAAATACAAGATTGAACTTAAATAAAAAAAATCTCTAAATGATAAGTTTGTGGGCTGGAACGTTTTTCAGGAACTACGTCCATTTGTGACCGACATTTTAAAAGTCGACATGGTCTAAACTATCATAAAAACACATACCACAACACGGGCACGGACGCGTCATTTATTTGTGATATCTGCGGAAAACGATTTCAAGAAAAGCAGAGAATTAGAGACCATATGATAATCCACACAGATAAACTTTCACATCCTTGTACTATGTGCGATAAAAAGTTTCGTAGAAGATCAAATTTGAAAAACCATATGGTACAGCATACTGGCGCGAGACAATATTCTTGTAATATATGCTTTAAAGACTTTGCGAACCTCTCCAATCGGAACAAACATGTGAGACGGAAACACGGTATTGAATTGGCAAGAAAGAGACGTCAGAAAACAGAGGCCAACCAAGTAAAAGTCACAGAAGCAGCAAATAATAATATTGAAGACCAGACGAATAATGACATGTTATCTTATAGCTAGCTATAGGAAATGTAAATTATCTAATAACTGATCTCATAAAGATCTCAAAAAAAGCAGCGTCTATGAAAATCATCCATGATTCCATGAATAATATAATAGACCATAACTAAGGGGTCACAAGCACGCTATCAGTTCTGGTCAAAACCATAGCCGGACGGGCCAGGAGCCTGCAGTATATTACAATAACATTTTATAAGGCAGGAGTGGGGCGGGATACTACTGATTTATTGTTTTGTTACCAATGAAAGAGATAAATAATACCAAAGAATTATATTTACAAGAAAACGAGAATTACAAGTAAACCCTTTGAAAGACCTTTGGAAAACAATAATAATTGATTTTGGGAGGTTCTATGTGATTCGGTGTTTGCTCCACAGTCACACTGCTGTGCACACTTTAGCTGTATGGAGTTTATGTCTAAAATTTAGATCGATTCAGAGGTATCGAGTTCTATATCGGTTATTAGATTCAGCAGCTTCGGTTCTTCTCTGACTGCCTCGTTAACCGACTGGTCGCAAGTGCGACTGCCGGGCAAGGGGTCTTGGGTTCGATTCCCGGTTTGGGCAAAGTATTACTGGGTTTTTTTTTAATTCTCAGTAGTAGCACGGAGTCTGGAATTGCGCCCAGTATATGGCAAAGCTCACCGTCTATTACATGGGACTCATAACATACCTCTACAATAGTGAAAAGTGGGTATTACATTGTACAGTGGCATTAAATGCCGTAATGTGCACCTGTTTACGCGGATAAAAGGCATGATGTTATGTTATGTAGCTTCCGTTTTTTGGTTGAATTCGGTTATTTATTTCGACCGTAAATACTCCGGAACGACAAAAGTTGTCTATTTGTGCAGATGTATATCATATCAGCCATAGGACGCCTACTGCTGAACATAGACCTCCCCCAATGGCATCCAGATAGGTCGGTTGGAAGCGACCTGCATCCAGTGGGCTTATGTAGTTAGGTACTGGTAAATTCACCTATCCAACTACCCACAAAATTCTTTTTAACACCGTCATAGCATAATTGTGGCCGTACCTATGCAGGTACATTAGAGTGTCCCTTATATGAACGAAAAAATTTTTTTTTCGAAAATCGGAATGCATACCCTCTAACTTTTTTACGTCTACCTAGACTAATCTTAATACAAAATTTTATCTTCCTACTACCACATTAACCCGTGCCGACAGCGTGTTAAAGTTTTGAAATTTCAGTTTTTAAACTAATATGGTACTGTGTAGCCTAAATCAATAAAAATATATTTTTTTTATATTTATAATCAAAAGCAAAGTTATTTTAGACGTTTATTAATTTTAAGAAGACAAAGTTACAAACATAAGGTCACAAAGTTGTAAATAATTAGTCCGGATATTTTCTCTTGAATGTCTATTTTTTACAATTTGGATACATATTTCTGTGCTCTTGCACGCAGCGTAGCAAATATTGCTTTTGTTCTTCCTTTGCCGTAATTAAACCATGAAAATCATGCATTAGTTTAACAGCTCTTTCAGCGGTATCATTAACTGCTTTTAAAGCTAGAACTTTACTCTAGAAGTAGCTTTTGCCATCCACCTTGCATCGCTCCAAGAGGCTCTGATTTTAATTCGCTTCGCAATATTTCCTCCTAAAAAGACAATAGATAGTTCAATCAGCTCCCGATAATCAGCACGCACAATAGATTTTTGTAGTTCTTGATTATAAAATGCAGCAGTTCCTGTACTATTGTATTACTGAAATGTTGTTTTATGAAGTCGGTGTTAATTTCAATAGCAGTAGATCAATGTTTTTCCAGTTGTCTCTAAACTTTTTGAACATCGGGATATCGGGACTCGTTACTTGAGGGATTTTCGTTTCAAACACAGATTTCAAAACCAGTTCGTCACCGTGATGGCGGCAAGCAAAGAGTAGTAATTCTCTGTCTAGTTTCTGTTCCAGAAGAACACACGCTCCATTGAATTGGCCGGTATTAGAAGCAGTTGTGTCACAGCACATAATTTGGACTTTGTCATTGACGTTCCAGTCGTAAAGATCGATTGACACTGCTTGAACTTGCTCTCGGCCGAAAGAGCTCTCTAATTTGAGCACAGCCTTCTGGCTGTTGTTATTTTACTCCAAATGAAATAAGAATTGGCAGGCGTTCTTCTTTTGAACTTCTCACGTCTGGCCCAGGTAATAGCTTTCCATCTTAGTGAACAGTCACCATTTAAGGAATGTTATTCTGAAAATCTGATGAATAGATTCCGCTCTATCTTTTCTACTCTGTGTGCGAATGCCCGAATAGGTGATTTGTTTATACAAAAATCATCACAGTTTAAACCTAGCGATTCTATCACAGCCCGAAATATATAGACAGAATCCCTTACACTTTCACCATCCCATCTGTCTAAAGCCGCAACTAACTCGGGCGTGATAAAGTCATTTCTTCCTCTTCTTGGAGTAGTTCCCGAGTTTAATGTTGATGTTGATAGCAAGGGTTCCTCAAGGCTTTCATCAGAGCTGGAAGGCTGATCGCAATTTTCTTGTGTATGAACAAAACTTTGTGTAGTATGAGATGACGATAAACTATTTGAACGAATTTGTTCTTGTATTCTTTTCTCTTCTATTAATTTCTTTGTCTTGATCTTTCTTCTTTTTCAGCCAACTTTTTATCGACACCCGCTAAGCATCCTGGGAGCCCTGGTTCTCTTTGCTTTTGTAAAAATATTTTATCTTCCTCTATCTTCATCAGCTGCAAAACATCAGCGTGTGCTATGTCGAACAATTATCTAAAGAGTTCTGAAAGTCCGCTTCACGGCGCCTATGAATATCATTCAACTTTTTCAAATTTTTTTGCAACTCTCTTCAAGTGCGGTGAAGATCCACAATTTTTTTTACACAGTTAGGTAAAGCTCTAGTTGGGATTCTAGCCTTTTCCCAGGATATAATACACTCGCGAATGACGAGATTTGCGCTTTTAATAACGGTTAATTTAACTTCGCGAATATTATAAAAAAAATACTGTGAGAACTTGACGGTTTGACGGTAACTTAGCGCCTGTTATTTGATAATTTACATCCCCAACAAAGAAAATACTTTTGATATCACTTCTTAATATTACTGCTATCTTGTAAGGGTAAACAATCGGTGGTTACTACGACAATAACTACCCAAGAATGACTTATTACCGTGAGTGCGAACCGCTACTCCAGCGCAACTTGTATGAATAAGTTTCGATGCAAGTCGGCACGGGTTCTCGTACTCCAAATATGGTAAAATTTTATTTTCTTGTGTTTTAAGTACAAATGAACAAAACTAAGACGTATGCGTCAAAAAATTTTAACTTCGAAAAATAAGGGACACCCTAAGGTACATACCTACTGCTTAACTTTTTTTTGGGGTTGTGGTAAGAAATAAAATTCATTATGTATATAATAAATTTAATGTGTTTTATTAGACACATAGACACTTATTGAAATAAGTTACACAACTTACTTAATACAATTATTTAAGTACAACGTATAACGTGTAGTAAAAGATGTTTATAAAAAGTCAGTCGAATCAATGGTAAGTACTTTTATGTTACAGAATTATAATTCGTTATAATCAATAAACTTCCTTAGTTAAGGTACCTATGTTTTTACTTTGACACCTGTAGGGCTCGTAAATTGCAATTGTTTGCAAGAAAATATATTTTTACAAAGATTTTAAAGCCTAAAGAAAAATAATTATAGGGGGTTCTAGTACTGACTGCATCGTCACAGGGATGTCTATGGGCAGCACAAGCCCAAATGCCTTATAAAAATACACTTAAATAATTAAAAATAATTAGATCACTATGTTTAATCACAAAATTATCTTTGATTTTCATTCCCGAAAGTAACGTGTTTTTTCATAAATATATATATTTTTAATATGTATCAAATACATAAAAAATTAAATACAATTCAGCTTGGCAAAAATTAATTTGGAATAACTGAGGTTGCTAGTATCGTACCTGTGGCAAACTACACTACAACTAAACCGGTTTTCATGTTTGTTATTTTATCAAGTTTAAAAAGTGTTCGGAATTGATCGGATGATTGTTTATTCATACGATATGGTGTCCGGAGTGGGTAATTCAGTCCAAGTCAATATTAGTTCCAACTGTCACCGTCTCAAATTCTTTTTTGCCAAGCTGTTACCTACCTACCTTACCGTACCTTATAGGTAGGCAATGATAAAATATCTAAGTAATTTTAATTTTTTCATAACAGTAGTCTTATGAAAGTATTTTAAAACCATGATTGTCATTACTAATTATGATACCATAAAACATAATCAAAAACTACTTCACAAACCAGAAGGTATTGACAAGAATTTTATAATCACTCACATATTATTTTTAAATTTTTTTGCTTCCATATGATTTCTTTGGCCTGCCTTTCTTCTTCGGTTCCAAAATCTCATTTCCCCATTTAGTAACTTTGTCCTTATCTTTACCTTCGTTAGTTTTCTTTTTTGCACGGTTAATTCCATGCACTTCTTTCGAATGCCTATTGTAATTTGGCCAGTTTCTAAATCTCTGGGGACATGAGTCACAAGCGTATGGTTTCTCTCCAGTGTGAATACGGATATGTTGTGGTAACAAGTGTTTGTGGCGGAATGCTTTGTTACAGTATGCACAGATAAATGGACGATTATCTTTATGTACCCTACTGTGCACTACCAGCTCTTTCTTCAGCCGGAAATTCTTCCCACACTTATCACAAGTAAACCGTTTTACTTCGAAATGTTTCAAAACATGTTTTTTAAGTTCAGATTTTATCTTAAATGAGAAATCACATATTTCACACTTGTAAGGCCTTTTATTTGAGTGTACAACTACATGTTGAGTTAGTTCCCGTTTTGTATAGAAGCGCTTTTTGCAAACCTTACATAAGTAATTACGCTTCCTGTCCGTATGGAGTAACAAGTGCCTATTCAAGAGGACTTTGGTTTTCAGAATCTTTTTACAAATAACACACATTAAGACTTCATTGTCTTTATACGGTGTCATGCGTATTGTAACATTTTTGTAGAAATTGTTGATATGATTTTCTAATTCTTCTTTAGTTTGAAAAGTGGCCCCACAAATGTGAGTGAATTTACGGAGATTATGTACTTTTAGTTTATGTTGTCTCAATTCTCCTGTTGTGTTGAAGTCTGAAGAACATATGTGACAAACTAATGACAAGTTTTGGCGATGTTTTATGACATGTGCAACAAATTTGTCTATGTGAGATCCTCTGGCTCTGCAGTCGAAGCAGCGGAATGGGTTGCAGATGTTATGGTACTGCATGCTGTGTACTCTTAGTTCACTTGGACTAATGTAATAACTGTCGCAATATGCACAAACCCACTTGTATGTCTTCCAAGAATGGGTTGACTCGGAATTTATTAACATTTTTAATGATTTTCTTCGTCCTTTTTTTAAGTCTGCTGTTTCGGTCTCCAGGGTGTCTTCTACCTGTTGAGTTTCTCTTGTCTTCTTGACAATAGGCTTCTCAAACTCATTTATTTTTGCAATCTTTGATTCCTCAAGTCTTTCAGATAAACTATTTGATGTTTCATCACTTTCTATAGAGTCTTCATCTTGATTAACTTCGTTATCAGTATCTGTTTCTGTATCATTCTTATCAATTTCATCTTTTTTTAGTAACTTTGTGGGTTCTAAGCTGGAATCTAAGCTAGAGGGCATAGATTCATCATCCATTGTGCATTCTTCATTGATCATAGACTCATCTCCTCTCGTCATCTCTTCACTGATGTTACTAACTTCAAGAGTATATGTCTCCGTTGTGTCTTGACTGGAGTGAACATCAAGATAAACACTATTATCATCAATTTCACCATCAGAAGATGACATATAATCCTCAAATGCCTTCTGTGCAAGGTCCATGGAATTCACAAAGTCATAGGCTTGTTTCAAAGACCTTGTACAGGTGAAACATACAGATTTAGGCAGATTTTTGTCGAAATTAAGGGATATATTAAATCTTTCCAGCATTTTGTTGATGCCTTTGCGTTTTTCTGTGTCTATTGTTAAGTTAGTAAGATCGCTGAATTGTTTTAAGTCACCGCAAAGACGACAAAACTCCTCTTCTGTCGTATCCATCGCTTTATTTTATCATAAAGAACTAAAAATGATGAATTAGTACATACTTCAAGGAATAGGTAGATCTTTTGTGGTTTCGACATCAAGGGGATTGTGGTTTCGGCATTAATAAAAGCTGTAACACAATCCGTTATAATTATTGTGTATTTAATTCAGATTTTTTTATTTTTGTTTAGTTTAATTCCGCGTAAATAACACAAACACAACAGAAAGCAGAAATCAATCAAAATAATTTTGTCACTTTCACTTTGACGTTTCGTTTGACACTATTGACAGCGGAAAGTCTGACAATGATTGCAAGACTAGTGTTGTCCCTATTTGTAAAATTGAAATCGGTTTTTGCAAAAGTTTATTAATTATATTTGGTTAATCGATTCTGCGATTCTCCTATGAAGGCAAGATTTACAGGAAGTGTGTAGGTATGTAGTAAAACGAGATCACACGAAAGCAAAAGTCGTAAGTATAATACGAATTTGACCTAGGTTACCTAGATTAAAGTGAAGTAATGATATTAGTTCCGTTGTTGTGTTGGTAGACCCACGCCGCAGATTCACGCAAAACCATTGAAATAAAACACCAGTTTCGATATTTCACTTATTTACTTATACGCTAATAAGGCTAAACAACGCGGCGACGTTTTTACATTCAATATCTTTTTGAATTCACAATGTTTTACGCCCTTTTCTTTTAGATAAACCAATCTGTCGTAGAGCACAAAGTTCTCAATTACTGGTTGCAAATAATTTTGTAATAAAATAAATATTCCCGCCTTCTTAAACGTCATTTCTGTCATTGAATTCCATAATGTCTTAATTTCTTCAATACTAAACGTTGGATTTTCAACTTTATCGCAGACGTCTGAAGATTCTTTTATGATCAAATCAAATCCATTTGTAACAGCATCTTTCAGATATGTTTCAAAATGTTTGTTCATGTTCTGAGTTTTGACAGCCTTTCTCTTTTTCCTTTTTAATTTGCAGTTTCCTGTAAAAACATGAAAAATACTATTAGTTAGTGCATTTAGTAACCCTGTTAAACATGTGAAATCTTGGCCACTTGATTAAAACCCTAGTTGAAATCAGCCAGATACTTACGTTCAAATGCATATTTTTGCAACACAGCTCTGGATAATAGATTGAAAACTAAATGTTCTAATGTTTCGTCTACGGAAGGTGGTTGAGCAGCTACTCTTAAGAATGGCACTTTCAAATATTCTGATCCATTATGTTTTCTGAAAATGTCTTTGAGGCAGATACTAAGAGGAAAATTCTTGAATGAATTACAATTTTCGGTCATTTTATGATAACAACATGGCATTATAACAATGGCTTTTGCCTCATCCATCTTTAAAAATAAATTGATTGCGTCTATAGTCAAATCAGCACAAGCATGAAGGCCAGTTATACAAAATTGTCTATGATCTTCAAACTTTTCTTGAACAAATCTTCGAATATTTTCATCTGAATTTTCTTTCACAGTATGTTTTATGTATTTTACATAATCTGTGGAGTTTGGATGGTACTTCCGCTGCCTAACTTTCGCGCCAACGTAATGGCTCTCATTACATTCAATTCCTAATATTCTGTAATTTGTTTTTTCAAATAACAATTGATCTAGATAACCCTGAAAAAATAAAAAAGTATGTTATGGTTAATCTTGCAAGCATTTGGCATAATCACAGTACCTGAAAATAGGTACACATACACATATTATTATTATTATTATAAGTACATACAATTTTATACGTAAGGTCAAAAACTAGATAAAGAAGTAAGTAGGTACCTACCAGGGGCGTAGCTAACGACGTATCTGCCGTATCAATTATACGGGGCCCCCGGACTAAGAGGGTCCACAACGACAACGGCCGTAAGCCAAACTTAAAAACTTCCCAGTAATTACAAAAGTTAAAATAAACAACATTTTTCGCATAATAACTATCCGAGACATACTAAATTAACTAAAAATCGCGGATTACTTACACGAGTAGGCTGCGTGACATCGCACGCTGCTCATGAGGAAGAACCCCGTTGTGGGTAGAAACTATAGAGCTTTTCTTAGTATATTTACGTGAGTAACCCGTGATTTTTAGTTAATATTTTTCTCGCGTAAAGCATGCGTTCAAAGGTTAGAAGAAATTTTTGAAAAACTAAAGTAGGTAGTCATAGTCCGATAATTTGGAGAGTTGCCTGGAAAGTTGTCCGATTTTCAAACTGTTACTATTTAAACTGTCAAACACCAAGCGGTCACCGGTGACCGCAACCTATTGTTCTATAATTGTGTCTACTAAACCGGTACTCGACGAGTTAAAGCATATTATTTTTTTTAATATTATGTTCTTCGTCTTACTCACGTAATAATTATATTTAACAAGGAACTCGACTAGTTTTACTGAGCACTGTCGCGCTACCTAGTAGCAGCGCGTGAGTTGCCGCGGCGCAGGTCGCGGAATGCTGCTCATGAATATGAGCCTCTAGCATGGCTTGAAACTAGTCGAGTTCCTCGTCAAACAGTTATCTGAGTAAGGCGAAAAACATAATAATTAATTTAGTATGTCTCACGAAAGTTATAACATAACATAACATAACATCACGCCTTTTTATCCCGAAGGGGTAAAAAGGCACATTATGCCACTGTACAATGTAACACCCACTTTTCTCTATTTATGTTACGAGTCCCATGTAATAGGGGGTGAGCCTATTGCCATATAAGTACCGGGCACAATTCCAGACTCCGTGCTACTACTGAGAATTTTTTTTAAAAAACCCAGTAATACTTTGCCCGACCCGGGAATCGAACCCGGGACCCCTTGCTCGGCAGTCGCACTTGCGACCACTCGGCCAACGAGGCAGTCATAAGCATAATATATATTTTTCCTTTATAAGGGCCCCCTAGCAAATTTTTATACGGGGCCTCGCCAAGGCACACTACGCCACTGGTACCTACATAAGTTATAATTTAGTAGTTTTTTTTAAATTTTACTTTAAAAGATGATTTTTACGTGTCGTGAGTGCGCTTACAAACACACAAATTCACATATTACACAGCACACATAGACTCGGAAGAATAATTTGTGGGAAAATGTGCAGTGTGCAGTCTTTAATTATTATGAAGAGTATAACGTAAAAGTATATGCCAAAAATGCTCACCAAGCCCGAACCAAAGTCGAGCACAGTATCGCAGTCGACCTGTTCACACATTTCTTTGATTTCCTTCGCCAGATATATTATTTCATGTTTTTTCTTACGACTAACTGCAATATTTACACCCGCATCCAAATTATCTTCAACATCTTCATGAAAAACTTGTAAAATTTTCAATTTCACGAAAAAATTGCTCAAAAATTCATCATCTACAGCAGTAACGTCGAAATTTTCGTCAAATACTTGCATATTTTCGTCTTTTATTGTGATTTTTTCTAAAATCCTGTGTATGAGTACATCAGTGTTAGGTTCGCTGAACAAATATTGATATTCTTGAAAGAACTGAAGGCATTCTTTGAAGTATTCTTCAGGAGTCACGAAGTGCGGTGGTAGCGACATTATAACCTATAAACAAGAGATATAAATACAAATATAAATGAAGTTCTGTCTCGCTAACATTCAAGAACGGCTGAACCATTTCGCTTAAAATATTCGTGGAAGTCCAGGAAAACCTTTTAAACCAAAAGGTGAGAAAGAAAATTTTTGGCGGTGCGAAGTTAGCCGGGTCAGGTAGTTAAAAATCACAATTTAACAGAAGCTCCGTTATATTTGTATTACTTGCAACCTCCGTGAGACTTAGGTACCAAATTATTTATTGTTTTTCAGCTTACTCACGTTACTGTTTGCCGAAGAATTCGAATAGTTTCAAGCCAAACTAGAGGCTCATATTCATGAGCTGCATTCGCGACACGGCGGAGGCTGCCGCGTTGCTACTGTAAATATCTTTGTTTTTATATTCGATGGGTGGACTAGTTGGCCACTATCTCGCCTGACGGTAAGCGATGATGCGGCCTCCGATGGAGCACGTCTGCCCATAAGCAACCTATTCACTCGGGCTTTGAAGACACCCATACCCTTCAGGAAACAGGACTCTGGCAAAGCATTCCACACCTTAGCAAGTACAAGAAAGCTTGAAGCAAATCTCTACTAGTTTCAAGTAACAACGGGAAAGAGTCCCCTTTTAAAGGGTTAATGAGAAGCGTGCGCGGCGCAACATCGCGCAGCTGAGATATTAAAGGCGCGGGCCCACCGCGGCGCATGCTTGCACGGGCACGCGGCGCATTTTAGCTGCGTGTAATAATTTTTTTGATAACGTGGGTCTACGTTTCCACTGGAGTACACTAATATGTACCACGACTACGTACAGCGTGACATGGTGCGCCTGGGCTGGCTCGACCGGAGTAATATCACGGCCGAGCAGGCCCAGGTTTCGTGCCGAAGTATGGCTCTCCCAAACTTAAACTGACTGAAAACTGTGCTGCGATAAGTGAACTGTACATAGTCGAGTCATATTCGTGTACTCCAGTGGAAATGTAGACCCACGTCGACAGCGTTGAGCTATGGAACCGTCAATTCGACCAAGCCACGCATGTATCAATGACGTCAATTCATTCGTAGCCTCTCCGTGCACCGCGGTGGGCCCGTGCCTTTATCCAACAGATCACGTGAGTAAGCAATTATTAAACGGTTTTATTTAGTTTATCCTGTTTACTTATTTTTAATTCATGCGTATGATGCTTATCGATTTTTCGGTAAATAACAAAAATTATACTGTACTAACTGTACTATGGAACATGAATAGACCATCCATGTTCCATAATGTAGCCGCTTATGCAACCAATATAAGACCAACCTATTATCTAATATTTTTTGTCACATTGCCAGAAAATACAGTAAAAAATCAAACAATAGAATTAAAAATAATATTTATTATATAACAACAGTCGCGACATTACACTCAGTAATAAATAAACAATGGCCGCGTATCGAATTAACAATATGTCCAAATGTTACACACTTTACAAGTACACTACAGTAACTTCAAACCATTTATACAGGTGCACAATGCACTTATTAATGGGGGCTCATGTATTTTTCTCTGAACCTCTCGTTCTTCATCCAATGGAGAATTAGCAATTATCACCCGATTGGACAATCAATATTTGAGATATGCAGTGATTGGACAAAATATCTCTTTCAACTTCTGAAGGGCAAAAACACGACAGCCCCCATTACGTCTTCACACTTGAATATATCATCGACACGAAGCATTCTCTACTAGAGATACATAGTTTTACTACATTAGTCACTTGATTTCCAAAAATGCTTCAAAACTATTGCTGTGGGCCATTAATGATTTCCCATTCTTCGTTATCCACTTTAAGGTCTTTCGAACCTTCACCGATAACACATTTGCCGCTCCACTTATCCCTGACCAAGTACTTATCACACACTTCTATTAAATCTTCCTTTCTCACAGCTAATACTCTTTCTCTCTGCGTCTTCCAAATGTCGTAGGACAATCCGTAAAGGAATAGATCAATGCCCTTCATGTATTCTGCAATAGGCTGGTCCATTTGCTGCAATATTG